CAAAAATTGATGAAATTAATGGTAATTTGTTGAAATGACATAAAGTTCATTCAATGATATTGTTTTTATAATACAGGTAGTCCTTGATATGACCATTCGTTCAGTGACCGTTCAAAGTTACAGTGGTGCTTGCAGTTCCAGCCATTGCAGCACCCCTGTAGTCATGTGAACAAAATTTGGGACCTTGGCAACCAGCTCATGCTTATGACCGGTTGCAGTGTCCCACAGTCACATGGTCACCATTTGAAACCTTCTCTGCCAGCTTCCCACAAGCAAAATCAATGGGGAACTCGGCAGGGGAGGTCACAAGTCACTTGGGTAAGTCTCCCTCCCCCGTCCCGGGCCTTTCTTCACTTGCTCACACACACCGCACCCTCCTTCCCCCCTTCACTCACTCACACGCACCCACCAGGGCCCTCCTCACCCCTGAGTTTTGGGTAATAAAGGAAAAAGTTTGGGAAGCACTGATCTAAGAACAGAGAAGATGATGGCAAAAGGGTGCATGTTTAGAGAAATAAATAATTTATTTCTTTCATGAGTTTTTCTATTTGCCAAGTTCCTTTTAATATAATCTCTCCAGTATGTTTACTTTGGGATGTATTATTTTGTCTCCTACATTTATTGGAGCTATACTATGTAGTCCTAATTGTACCTTAAATTTCAGTCATCTTTTAATAGAGCAAAGAAAAAAAGATTCATCTTTGTGAAGCTACATTCACTCCCTGTTGTTTGTTTGTTTGTTTGTTTGTTTTGGGGCTTTGTTCTTATTTTTGTTTTTTGAGTAGCCTTTTTTGGGGGGGTAAGATGGATTATTCATTATATGTTGTTTTTATAAACTACCTCCCCCCTTCTGAGGATATCAAATTGAAGATATCAAAGTAACCCCTTCATTTCAAGGCACAATGAAAGACACCTTTCATACTGAAAAGAATTTCACACCTATTAGTTACATTAGTTAAACAAATGTAAATTCTTTTGGCTGACATTCTCTTCATTGTAAATAATGTTGACAAAAATGAAGTATTTGAATTATCTTTCAAGTGTTTGGTCTGCATAAAATACACAAATCCTTTCTGTAACATTCTTACATTGGAACCCCTGTAGCAATTTACTCCAGGCCCTCCTGCCCAGCGTCACCCAGCTGTATCTATAGTGTCCAAACCAGTCATGCTGCATCCTGACCATAATATTATGGTCAGGCCAACAACCAAATCAGAAGCACTGGTAAGTCTATGCTAATATATTCTGCATGCTTTGAATGTATGGGGGACAGAATGTCCCACTATCAGTGTCAACCTTTTTTTCTTTGGTTCTAATTTGAGTGTACACTGAATAACTCAGAGATATTTTAAGAATTAAAGGATGTGAAACACCTTTTGCACAATGAAGATTTGGTTGAATTTGTTGCATAATCTCCTTGTGGTTTTTTGTTCTGTTTTGTTTTACTCTCCTTTTGTTCTGTAGCCACTACTCAATCACTTCAAGGGTTTAGAAATTCTTTAAGTCTCTAAAGCAGGGTTTTTCAGCCTTGAGAATTTTAAGATGTATGGATTTCAACTTCCAAATTTCTGGGAATTCTGGGAATTGAAGTCCACACATCTTAAAGTTCCCAAGCTTGAAAAATCCTGCTCTGAAGTAATATAACTGTGTGGAATGTAGGGAAGTTATAGAACAGACACTTGCTTAACATAGGAACCAGGGAACAAAAGGACTTTTATTAAAAAAAACTAAACAAATAGTTTTTTAAAAAAGGTCGCTTACCAGCTTATCCTGGCCTTAAAATTATTGGCAGCCCAGGGTTTGGATCTAAGCCTCTAGCAGACCAGTCCTTCCACCTGTCTTCCCAAATCCTTTAGGTCTCCCCTCCTCTGCCACCTTCCTGGGAGAACATGCCCAGTGTTGCCATCCTTTATTGGCTGTTCCAGCACCCAATCATTACAAAACCTTTGACACCAAAAGCTCAATGTATCCAGCAACACATGATATAGAATCAGTGTGTCTCATCTCTCCTGTGGTTACTACAAATAAAAGTTTAACAGAAGTTTAAAGTGCAGAACTAATAATAAGGATAGGAGATAACATACTCATTTTGAGTTTTACTCAGGATACAAACTGAGTAAACTGAGCTTTCTACATTGTAAAATTTAGCATTAAGTATTAATATCTCTGTAGAATTAGACAAGCAGAAAAACAGAATGAAAGGTCTTCTGTATTTATCAATTAGACCACAAGCAAAAACAAGCTGAAAGATGCTTATTCATTTTTATACCAGTTAAGGCCATCCCACCAGTAAAACTAAAAAATAGCAGTTAACATCCTGATGTAGCACTAATTATATTGTCTTTTGGCTTCTGTTTCCAGGACTGAAGAGACCAATTATCCTTTGTAATGAAATAGGGATCTCATTTTCACCTCTGTGGGCTAATAAAAAATGAATTAGAGAAATTCAATTTCCATGAAATCTGTTCTGAAGTAAAATATTTAAAGCATCTTTAAAGTGAACCTACTCTTTAAGAATTTATTCTAACATAAAATCAATGAGCAGCTAAAGATGACTCAAAAATAACCATTAATTGACCAAAAAAGGTTTCCCACTAAAATGCTTCTGATTGTGTCATTTGTAGTCATTATCTGCAGTTTACCATTTCTAATTGTAATCTTTCAGACTTTTTTTCATTCAATCCATTCAGTTACAATTAACAGCACAGCTAAGCAATTTGAAAGTTTTCAAGAATTAATACAATATCATCTCAAAGTACTATAGTTAGTAAAGATTTGGTTTGCATTTTTCAATTGACAATTGTATTCAGAAAGATTTTGCTTTGTCAAGATGGGTATTACTAGATCTGGCCCTGTGGAGCATAAATTCTGAATTTATTTTCCAAATTTTCACATATGCATTGAGGTCAATGGAAGCTTTTTTCTAGATTTAGCTGTGTAGTAGGTTGCTCATAAGGAGCATAACTAGGGAGGGAAAAATAAACCATCTGCTCTTCACCTGCTGCCTTTCACGATCCTTTGCCAAACACGACAAGCTTGGAGTGAACCGTCTTTCTCTGATGCCAGTGGCTGCTTTTTGTCCTCCAGAGCTTAATTTCATGGGGTGAAGATATTTTTCCTCCTGTGTTAGGAGAGGAAAGGGGAAGGCTTGAGAAAATCATGAATTTTACTTAATCTTGTAAAATGTTATAAAAAGGGGGGAGGAGGGCCTTCTCCAGGCAGCTCAAATGTATATCAAATCCTCATTGTGTAAACACATGCTTGATTGGTTGGTTCCTCATTAACTCTGCTTCTCCCTGCCCGACATGGTAGAACATGGAGTTTTGCTACTTTCCTATCATACTCTGCTATTTCTTCCTGTGTGTATATATCAGAATCATTGCATTGGAAGAGATCATAGAGGTCTCTAGTTCAAGCCCCTGCTTGGTGCAATATCTACTACTGTATCTCTAAATGATGACCATCCACCCTCTATTTGGAGATGTCTAATCTATATAATCTCTATACATGTGCATTAGTAAAGAGAAAATCAAGTCTGCACTTTTGTTTTTTATTCTGTAAACCATTCCATGGACAATTGCCAATAGGATGGTATATCATAAAATAAATAAGCATATGTATCTGGTACAAACTCTGATGATGAAAAAGTGATGAAACAAGTATCACAACATCACAAGGCAAACCCCAGACTTTTATATTTGCCTCCTTGGGTCAGAGGCAAGTACAAAAGTGGTAGAGTTTTAATTGCGATGTCCCACACCCATTTCATGATTTGCTGCCTTGCCTTCTGCAGATGCCTGTGTAAATAAACAGAGAAATAACCCCAGAGAGGAGAAAAAGGAAATAACCATTCTTTTTATTTCTTGCCTCCATTTCTGTCTTTCACTTCGAAGCTTCCATTCTTTCTTCCATGCAGTTCAGTCCTTATTCCATCCTTCCCTCACTCCTATAATCAATCCAAGGTTCCTCCCTCCCTCCCTTTTTGCTCCATTCCTCCTTTTTTGCTCCATTCCTCTATCTACTGTACTCCACTTTTGAGTTCTCATTTCTCACCATGCATCTATCAATTTTGAAAGATCTCCCAAATGAAGTCATGCACCATTTTATTTCACTTTGATTTTTATTTATGAGGATAACAATGATTGATAAATATCAATTGGTGTCTTTCCATTGAGTTGATAAAGAGCCAGTTCAGCAGAGAGCAAACACCGGTCATCAGTCCAAGATTATAAATCCAGAATGGCATTGTCTCTCCATTGTAGTTTTTGTTTACTATACCCCATCTCAGTAAATCCATAGTTCTTCATATTGATAAATTCCAGATGTTTGCTATATGCTTCAAAATCACATTTAAATTGTATTACATTTCCCAAAATCATATTTTGAAACTTAGATATTAAGCCAAAATGGAACAACAGTGAACAAATCAAAATCATATGTGTGTCCTCTCCAGGTTCACTAAATATTTTTACTCTGTGTATTTCTGATTTTAAAATACTCTGCTTCATCTTGGAAAATATCTATTTCACCATGTCCATTGTGGTTTTTATCTGCATGAATTCAGCCCTCCTAAAAGACTATAAATCATGAGAAAGGGCTTTTAAAGAGATAAGCAAGTCTACAGAACTTTGTATTACTTTCTGTACTTCATTCTCTTGTAGATTTGGAATAAATTCAGCTTTTGCTTGTTCTTCAGCTATGAGAAGCTATTCCCCCTCAGATGAGAAGTTGGTTCTTGCTTTCTCTGTCTTCTTGATTTTAGATCCATAATTTATCACCATGGGCATGGGTCAATATAGAAATTATGTTATTAAATTAAAAAACAAAACAAAGCTAAAGTTTTCTGCTTAGCAATTAAGCAGTCAAAAGGTGAGAGATAGCTCAAGCTGGAATAGGACCAAGTTAGTAAATTCAGCATATTGTCATTAGCAACTGGAAGTCCATTGAGAATTAACTATCAGTTTGAATTACAGGGATTTGGCTGGGAAATTAATTGGTACTTTGTCCTTTATGTAACAGCAAATAAATACTAATAATTATATTTCTGAATTTGCATATATTAATATAAATTAGAATGAATAAGTGTAATGCAAGCTTGTGTCCTAAGAGTCTACATCCCAAATCCTTTTGGTGCCAACCAATCTTACTTCTGCCTTGTGAATGAATTGCTTAAAATATCACTTAGTTTTTAGTCAGCTTTGAAAAGTTGAAAGGAGAATTTCATCAGCACATTTAAATTACGTTGCCATTCTAACACATCTGCTGACAGACTACTGTCCAGCATCACTTCTTTACCATTGCCATGGGATTCTCAATTTAAAGTTTCTATATGGTTCCCTGGCCATAGCACACTCCTGAATCAATGTTATGAAATGATAGGAGGAACTGGCAAGGAACTGCTATAAGAAATTAGATTTGCTCTGAGGCTCTATCACACAGTCTCAAATTAATGAAAAGAAACTCTAGCCCATTTTATAGAAGGCATAAATGTTAAATGCATCCAGTTACTCAAAATTAGCATCTGAAAACACAGTTGCAATTTATTTTCAATAAACCATTGTGAAATCTTTCCAGAATAATATAATTGTTTTTAACTGGACAATTTTTTGCTAGTGTATGTGCTCTCAGCAACAATATCGACCACTGTTATTCTTTAGATTATACATTGTACTGTCCTATGGAGACACAGAAAGGTTAATACTAAATCATTGGGTAGGTGTTCAGAAATCCGCAAAGTTGTTAAAATGTACATTAACCTAGAACCATAGGGTTGGAAGGGCTTTTCCTGAAGAAGATCTTATAATTAAAATGCTTATGCTTCTGTAATAAATAATTGGATATACATTAGAATCAGTTCTGTTGTTGGCATCTTTGGGTGCTTCAAATTCTGATTGGATGGTAAAAATACAGTTTCAAGAGGTGCCTAATTAAGGTGTTTAATTTGGGAGTTTGGGGTAGTTCGGTGTAGTGGTTAAAGGTGCTGGAATAGAAGCCAAGAGACTGTGAGTTCTCATTTTCCATTAGGCATAGAAGCTACCTGGGTGACTTTGGTCCAATCACTTTCTCTCAGACCCAGGAAGAAGGCAATGGCAAACCATTTCTGAAAATGTGACCAAGAAAACTGGGTAGACTTGTCCATGTAGGCTGACTCAAAGGCACTAAAAAAAATATATATTTCTATCTAGTATCAGTAGGACAATTTTATGTGAATATATTAGTTCCCATTTCATTATTTTTCAGGCATATTCTGTTTATTTACTCATGACAGCTATTTCTATCTTCCTTTCAGTCTCCCAAAGCAGTATATAAGCAATTGTAAATAATAGTAAACAACGTTATTATTTAATTCTCTGGGGAGAAGAAATCATCTGAGCAGGTTTCTGTGGTGGTTGTCCCCTGCTCCTTCCTTCTTCCTTTAGAGATCCTTCCTACAGGACAACCTGATGGTAATGGGCCTGCGATGGAGGAGAAAGGAAGAATTCCATTAAATAATGATGGTTGTCACCTGGTTTCCAACCTTTCCTTTCTAGGGCTCTTCCCAAGGGAAGTTGGAATAGTCCAGCAGAGCAGGCTTTTGTAACCTATTTGCCTTCCTGCAGTTCTAAAAATCATGTACATCTACAGGATTTTTTCTAGGAATTCCAATTAACTTTGAAGATATAAATAGAATATCTAAAGCTGAAGGACATTCATATGCATGTGAACATGAAGGAGAGGAGAAATGTATGTCTAAAGAACTAGTTGCTAATTCAGCAAGATTTTTTTTTTCCTTTCAGCCTCAAGAGATGTTTAAAAGGATGGTGGTTTACAATTCATCATTTAAAACTAACAAAAAACAAGTAAAATCATTTTTCCTTTTTGCATATGTGTGTGGTATTTTTGCATTTCGACTGTAGTATGCTATCCCAGTTTCCTCTCTTTTCTGTCTCATAACATTGAGATAAAGATGGAATATACATTAAAATAGCAAGCTTTGATTCTTTCAATGGATGCATGCAGTTCTGCTAGAGTATTAAGAAACTGGCTATGAATACAAAAAGATCTGATGTTGTAAATTCTTTAGTCATTTGATATTTCACACTAGTGACTCTTAGACTTTTTCATTCAAATATAACATAACATAAGGAATATAAATATTCTTTTTCCATTCATTTCTATCTTATTTCTACCAGGTCACTTGTGAAAAGATTGATCTCCTTCAGAAAATGTAGTTTGGTAATAAATGAGGAAAATGCTAGATTGCATGAATCCACCCAGAATGATCAAAGAAAAAATGATAGTGGTATAGATGAGTTCTCAAATTAGTAAATTATTTTCCAGTGGTTGTAATTAGGGTCCCTGATCGATTTTGTAAAAGAGTGTATTCTGTTTTAATCTTGGCTTTTCAAGTATTCTTAGCTAGTTGTCAAAGAATGTTTGGATTATTTTTTCAAAGACTATCAAAGATTTTCTAATGTAGGCTTTCATGACCAGTATCTGTTGGGCAATGTTGAGCTTCTGAATTTAGTGATCATGGTCTAGAGAACAGATTTCCTGACATTTCACCAGCAACAGTGGCTGATATCTTCAGAAGCATGATGTGCTCTGCAGACCACAGGTAACTGAGCAGAGACTGACTGGACTCCCTGTCGGTCTTCAGTTTCCACAGCACAATTGCTGTCCAGTCAGCTCAGTCAGTCCCTGCTCTGTTGCCTGTGGTCTGCAGAGTACACCATGCCTCTGAAGATGCAGCCAGTTGCTGGCTAAACCCTGAAGCCCAACCCTGCCCAACTGTCAAAGATTCTCACTGCTTAAGAAATACTGGGTAGGAAAGAATGATGTGAGGGATTAACAAAATCCATTGTTTCTAGTGGGGAGCTGGACCTAGTTGATGCTGATCCTGGGGGCTTTCAGGAAGGTTTGTTTATCCTTACTCTCAAGATACCATTGCTGCATCCACACTACTGTCAAATCTCCCTGCCTATTGCTGGGCCTAGAAACATTACAAGGAGCAAACGGAGACAAAAGTGGCAGTAGGTGTGTAGAATATCCAGTCCCATGCCAAGGACTATAAATATTAATGATTTTTCAGAAGGAACAAAATGATTGTATAGATTAAGCATTTGTTTCATGTTGAACAAGCAGTTGTCAGAGGGACCTCTAATTAAATTTAGGGCTACTTATGTTAAAATCCTGTATATCTTACCCACTCTAGCTATTCACATTCTTAATCAATTTAAATGACTTACTCTTTCCAACTACCAATGAACAAAAAGGCAAGTCTTCAGGTATTCATCATACATTGATTAAATTATGCTATGGAAACTGAAGACTTGCGCGAACTCAGAGGAGCATGGGCTGGACAAAGGTTTTCTCTGTGGAAGTGAACAGGTGGCTCTTCTGCATTTTGAGGCAACAAGAACCTGTTATGTGTTGCTCTTTTTATGATGTTATTTTAACTGATTGTTCACATGATTTTGATGAGATTTATTATTTTGTGAGCCTCCCAGAGTGTTAGGAATTGAGCTAGATATAAATTATGTAAATAAATAAAATTAGGAACAGTAATATGAGCTAGCTGGTATCATAATTAATATCTTTTGAGCAAATGCCTACAGCAAAATATTGATGAAAATTGTTCTAGGCAAACTAAAGAGGAACCTTCATTTGTCTTTAATTGAAGACATCATTAGGTCATCCCAGAGGTTATTAGATGTTGTAGCTTTCCCTCCCCTTAGGCAGTGAAGGGCTATGGGAACCACCATTTTTCTTTTCTGTCAATGCTCTGGTGATAGAGGAAGAGGGTCAGGTTAGGTATTTGATTCAAAGCCCTCTTTTCCTTTGAAACTCCCAAAGCAGTCCAGGAACCAGCATATTAATCTATTCCTTGTTATGTCAATGGGAGGGAAAAGGGCTACAGTAGGGATTCCAGCCACAATTATGTCAGATGAACAGTCATCATAACATAGTTTAATTCCTTGCCTAGGAAGTTCAGTGGAGCAATGCAGCTGAGCTGTGAAGCAGGATGTTTTACGTTTCAGAGATTTAAACATGTTTGTTTGGTACAGATGATTGTTGATGAATGAAGTAAATGTGCTCTAGAAGTGCTTTCTGGTTTGCATTTCTCATGGCAGTTAGCACTCCAATGTCATCCTGCTTTTACTCCCCACATGTTATACTCTAGTTATGCTAGAGGAGTACAATGGTCTTAATCAAAATTTATCTTGCCCATGACCTTCATGTTGGATGGATTAAAATAAACGGTCAGTAGCTAAGTCTGAAGACTTAGCTCTTCCACATTCAGTAAACCTCTTCAGATTAACTTATCTAACTGTTGCATTCTAAAAGGTAAATCTGATTTAAGAAGGTTGTATGACTTAATGTCAGGAGGAACATACCATTTCTCTCTTTCTTTCTGGCCTTTCTTTCTTCAATTCATTTGAAAGTCTATTTTTATTTAGAGCCTGCTATGCATGTATTTGATTACCAATCTTATTTGCAGGGCTTCCAAAAATATGTGGAAGACTTTGATCCCTACACCATGGTAAGAAGTATGAATTGTGAGTGACCGCTAAGGGGGAAGGGCCTATGACTTAGTGGTAGCTCACATACTATGCATGCAGGACATTCCACATTCAGCACGTGGCATCTACCCAAGAAGAGCCTTGATTGATTAGATGAAAATCCTGCCGGTCCAGTTGGGTGGCATAGCAGCTAATCAAATGTATCCAGGAAGCTTACAAGTAGGATGCAAGATTGATAGTTTTTCAGTATTTCTGTGTAGCAGTTGTTATCAAAGCATATCAATCAACAATCAAACAAGGGAAACAATCAATTTCCCTTTGATTATGGATGTAACACTGAAATTTAATAACCATATCTTTCATACATGATACATAATTAGAAGTTGTCATTGTATCAGCAAATTCTATAGTTTAAATATATGTTGTAAAATAACAACAGTGCTTTCTTTTACCATTCCTGAATCTCCTCACATTTAGCACATTTTCCAAATCATTCATGTTTTTATATAATTCTGTAAGGTTCCCCTTTATCCACCTTCTTTCTAAGCTGAAAACCCCACCAAATTATAATATTTCCTCATAAGGGAGTGATTCTAACTCATAATAATTTTGGTACAAGTTGGATAGGAAAACCCTAGAGTATCAATACTGAGCCACATGGGCTAATGAATAATCTCAATATAAGGCAGGATCTATGTATTTTCATTTTTGTTCTAAATTTCAGAGAATGGATTTAGAAGAGTTCTCTTTCGGTTTTTATATTACATACTTCATGTTACCCATTTGAGAAAGTAGAGATTGCTTACTGACATTTGTTTAATTTTGCTAGTTTTCACCAGATCAGATTATGGGGAAAGATGTACGACTCCTTCATATTAAGAAGGTACTGTTTGTGATGGAAGAAAGATACTGTAAGTAAAGAAATGCCATTTCAGAGAATCCAGAGATGAGCCTTACCACTGAAAACAGGAAACATTGAAAATTAAGCTGTGATCTTAATTGTAGCTTTTGTAACAAATGTTACATTTGTTCTACTGTTATAAAGGACAGCTTCATTTTTCAACTTAGTTGTTTCTTCATTCATTGGCTTTGAATCAAATCAGATTATGCTATTGAAAAAATAAGCAGTCAAAACCTATGAGGTGAGTGGGCAAACACAGATAAAGTGCCCATACATGCAGTGTGTGGGTGACAGATGAACATTAAATATACGTCTGCAATTCCACAATTTAACAATAATTCACTGACACTTCACTGAGGTTGAGGGCACCAGAAGGACCTTTTAAATGAATCTGCCTGATCTTAGAAAATTCTTTACAAGTTCACCTTCCAATATTTCTGCCTTTTGAGATTGGGTAGATATAGTGTGCAATAAAGCCTTTTCAGTGCTAATGCATCATTGTAGAGCATCTTTCTCAGAAAGCAAAAGGATAGGCAACCATTTTTTTAGCTTTTAGACAATCCTTCTTGTTCTCTGAGGTTTTTAGTCACATCTGTGTTGCTGTATTTACTTGTTCCTTCTAACTTAATATGATTTTAGATAATTTCTTTGCTTAACATTGCTGACTATGTTGTTTTTATTGGTCCTGTCTAGTATTTTCTATTATGATTTTTATTGTAAAGCTTGAAATAATTTTAATAGAAAAGCAGTATATAAAGATTCTACCCACTGGTCCATCCACCAGTGGAACTACTGTAAAATCGGTGCTCCCCTTCCCTACAACCCTTTAATTCCAAACCTGGTTTAGAGGAAGAAGGGGAACTCATTTTGTATGTTCCTAACAGATGAGTTTTAATCCAAAAACTCCTATTCAGTGGTTGACAAATACCATATGTTCATTTTTCTTTTTAAAACTTTAATAGGAAGGATCATTAGACCTTGCAGTAGAAGGAGGCATCAATTCCCCAGTTGGAAAAATAGTGGTATCTGCTATTTATGAGGGGGGTGCTGCAGACAAGCATGGTGAGTAGCCACTAAGAAAAAAGTTGGAATATAAAGTTGGAATATAACACTTGTTAAATAAAGTTAGCCTTAACTAGATGTGTAAACTATACCCCTCAATTGGCATAAATTTATTTCTAAAGTATTTATATTTAAATTGAGAACTACTAAGTATTTACAGTTTTCTCCAATTTTCTGAAATGCTCTGGGGGAAATTATGGTGAGAGGAAAGCTGCATGATTGAATTTGTTGGTGCATTGGGAAGTGATTAATTCTTCCTGTCATGTGGTCTTCAAGGTTTCCCGAACAGCTCAAATATCAAAATGTTTACAAAAAGTAGATGTCTCTATAATGTATAACTGTATTTGAGATAGTACCAATATAAAATCAAAAAATTAAATTTGCTATTTTAGCACATTACACCAGGGACCCTAGCTTCATCTGTTCCCTAAATACCTTCATCAATATAGCTACTGTGGTGTCTGGTAAAATAAATGAGTTTGGAACACTAATATTGTTTATTTTAAATTTCATTATTAACTCAGAATGAAGATAAACAAGAACCATATGTAATAAATGGCATAATTAAATAAGGGTAGTGGAATATGTCATGCTTTTACATTGTGATAATTCAATCTTAGGTTTCTAGTAGAGAAAATGGCTGCTTACAGAAAAGCATTTCTTGTGCAACCAAACAAAATATCTTATACAGCTATTTTATCTTCCTTTTGTGGAAGAAGAAAAGTCAGAAAAACAGTACAGAAATATAGGAGGGTTAGGAGTAATACACATTACTTTAACTATAGCTTACATGCAGATGCTAGTGATCTCTATTTATTTCTATTATTCCATTCATTCTGAAAAGTGTTCTAGTGGTTAAAGTATCAGACTGTGGTGGCAGAGAGTGAGGTTGAAATCCCTAATCAGCCATAACATTCACTGGATGACTTTGGGGCCAATTATTGTCTCTCATTCTAGCCTACCTCCCAGGTATGATAAATGTAATCTTTTTTGGAGGAAAGATTGAAAAATAAACAAACAAACAAATACATCTTGCATGGTACAACCCAGATTCTACCGTTCAGATCCTCATTTTCAGTAACTGCTTTGGTAGAAGAAAGATAATATGGAATTGTTTGTTCCTTTGCCCTTTATTTCCTTTATCAGGAGGTATTGTGAAAGGGGATGAAATAATGGCTGTAAATGGCAAGATTTTGCTGGATGCTAAGCTGGATGAAGCTCGGGCCGCTCTTGCAAAAGCATGGAACGTGGGAGGGGTAAGTTGGAAGGGTTTAGTCTCGTCTCAGAATTACGCATCAGATATTCATTGTTCTCAAGAAGTGGCAGTAAATAATTCCTAGCCTATTAATAAATTTAAGATAAAAATTAGCAACTCTGTCTTCTGCAGGAATTGTAACAAACGTAGAAACAACAAACTGAAAATTGTATTGTCATCTTAAAAACCCATAATGATACAATGAAATATAAAACACAACTCTGTTGAGTAAGCATGGATGTTATTAGCAGTCCTTAAGTTTTATTAAAAATTGGTCCTTTTAATTATTTTTTTAAAACAAAAAATTATTCTAAACAAATTATAAGATAGTATTTTGAAGATTGGACAAATAATGAGTTAATTGATGGTGTGCCAAAAATATATAATTATATGCCAAGCAATCCCATTCCTTTTTCCAATGAAGAATGAAAAGTTCATGTGGCCAGTTAAGCACTGGTTTATTTAAGCACAACAGCTGTAATATATGCAGAATAATTCAGTATTATTTCCATCCCAATTTCTTCTTCCATAAGAAGAAATTCCCAATGATATTCATGTGACTTATCTTTTGTATATAGTCATATAGTACTGCTCAAATAAGATTCTGCATAGAATAGAAATTGCTCTTGGCAAAGGAGAGAGAGAAAATGACTAGACTGCTTCATTTCTGTTTAAGCAAAATGCTTCAGGAATGTAATCCATTCTTTTAGTATTCTTGAGTGTTAGTACGCTGCATGTTCTTCTGAGTTGGTGGGATGCTTATGATGAAAGACTGAGAGAATTAGTGAGTAATGCAAGAGAGATGAGAGGTTCTGAATGTGGGACAGGCCATTTTTAGTAGCATCAAAAGTGGATCTTGAGGGAAAATGAACATAGAAGGAAAGGAAAGAAAGGAAAGAAACTGGGCTGTCTGCTGGAAGAAAACATATGTCATACATGCAAAACTATTAATCTCCCAAATGGAATGGAAAATGGGTATAAGGAAAGAGGATGTGAAAGCTGCTTGGAACAGCATGGGAAATATGAAAAGGATGCTTGGTGGAAGAATGAAGCAAAAGGGGCAAAGGTTGAAAAAAATCCATATTAAAGAATGGGTGAGAGAAAGATACTGTGTAATATGAATATGGAGAAAAAATAATTGTCAGAAAGCAAGGAACAGTTTAGATTAAATGAAGTAGAAAGAATAAATTATTTCTTTATTGAAGGAAATGAATTGTTTTGAAGTGGGTGAGATGGGCTAAACAAGAAGCCTCCAGCAGGGTGAATGGAATTAGAAATAAAAGCTATGAAATTATTTGGGATGAGAGAATGTTAAGAGTATTTTAGAGATTTGTGTGAGGGAATGTTAAGAATATATTAGAGATTTGTGTGGAAATGATAGTGATACAGGTAGTCCCTGCTTAGTGACCACAATTGGGACCAGCAACTCTGTTGCTAAGCACCACAGTGGCTAAGCAGAAAATCATGTGACTGCAACAGGCTTACAACCTCACTTCCCATTCAGTTGTTAAATGAATCATCGTGGTCATTAAGTGAGATATCACATGACTGCAACTTACAATTTTGTTTCTGTGTTCTCCATGAACTCTGCTTGTTGCAAGCCTGTTGGAAAGTAGCTGAATGATGATCATATGACCGCGGGATGCTGCAGCGGTCGTAAATGGGCGCTGGTTGCAAAGTGCCTGAGTGGCAATCAGTGACCATGGGATGCTGTGATGGTTGTAAATGCGAGGATTGGTTGCAAAGCTATTTTTTTTACACTGCGGTAACTTTGAATGGTTGCTAAACGAGGCAGTCAGTAAGCAAGGACTACCTGTACTGTATGTCAAAGAGAGGCATTGAAATGAATGCTGTAAATATTAGTGTCCAAGAAAAAAGTGATGAAATGATTAGTGTGAGAATGTTGAAATGGGTTAAGATTGCAGGTGTAAATGATGTATCCAGAGAAAAATTAGGTTTGTTTATGGAGAGACTCTGTGATTTGTTTAAACTGTGTGCAAAAGCTGCTAATGTTTAGAAGAATGCTGTTATTATTTCCCTACACAAAGGGAAAAGAAAAGTAGTAAGAGTGAATGCAAAAACTACTGAAAGAATAGTTTGTTAAACGTGCCTGGGAAAGTGTTTGGCAGAATTCTGATCAGAAAGGGTAGGAAAGTGACAAAATTAGCAGAATTTCGGAAGTGGAAAGCACAGCTTTGCGCTGGGGTAAGATTAGAGTTAGGGTTAGGATGAAGATAGAAATATTGATTTGCTGTTTATCTGTTTAAGACTTGTTGTGAAGAATGAATGTTTGTCAAAAAGTGGAAATGTCTGTGTGTAAGATCAAGTTTCTGTCCATTTTGTTATATGGAAGTGAAAGTTGAATATGTCAGGAGAAAGGTAAGATAAGTTGAACCAGCGGGAATGGGGATTCTTAAGAAGTGCTTGCAGTAAAGCAAGAGATAGGGTCAAGAATGAGTGAATGATTAATTAATTAATGTGGATTGAATACAAAAATATTAAAGAAGTATATTGAGGTGGTTTGGTTACATAAAGAGAATGAATAATGATTGCATTGCAAAACAAATATATCAGGAAGAGTGAATTAAGAGGGAAGACTAAGAAGGAGTACTTGGATGGAATTGATGAGATCCTTAGAAGAGAGGTGAGAAGCTGAAAAAAGAAAAGGCAATGTATGAAGCTATGTATGGATGTGGTCAAAGTAAGAATGGTATGTAAGAAAAGTGTGGTGATTTAGCTATATTTCCTTTTATTTTTATTTCCTCATATCTTAATTTATCTGGCTTACTATTTTCAACTCCCTTTCTGTGCTTTCCATAATGTTGCTTAATCCAAAAGGGAAAAGAGTGATGGGTCTGCTCACTTTTCTCTATACCACATTTTCATAACAAGCAACCTTCTTAATATGTTCTATAAGGAAAACATTCTCTGAAAGTGTAATTTTCATTCCCTGATCGGTTACAACTCATATTGATGAAGCATTTCTTCCACAGGATTGGATTGACTTGGTCATTGCAGTGTGTCCTCCCAAGGAATATGATGATGAAATGTAAGACTTCTGTATTTGTTCATGGACATAAACTAGATTACCCTTTTATTCAACTTTAACTTAAGTCCACCTCTAGTTATCACCTGTTAAGAAGCATGTAGTCAAACTGGATATATTTCAGCAAGGAAAATGAGCCACTAATCAATTTGGAAGATAGAGAAATCTGAAGAAAATAGGTGTACCAGTAAAAATACATGAGAACAGCTAGCAATGGAATGCTGTAAGAAAAGAATTAACTATCAAGACAAGAAGTAGAGGAGAAGCCTTTGAGTCAAGCTTAACTCCTGGGAAGTAATGATTTGCTATTTTCTGCCCTGGTATTTACTGGGAGTCTCCTATCCAAGTAGTAACCAGATCCAATTCTACTTGTGGAAAAAACTAAAGATTTTAAATGTAACAAAACAGAATGATGTAGTAGAAAAAGCTTTAGAAAAGTCAGGCAAGCAATAGTTTAAATATGATCATTTAAATTTGGACAGAAACAAGTAGGTACTCAGTCCAGCTGATATAGAGTTAGTACATCAAACAAAAAACAGTGTGATGTCAGTTGCAATCTGTTCAGTTAGTACTTCTATGCATACATGCTGAAGAATATCAATTTAGGGTATCTTATCTCTGAATAAGTACATAAAGGAATATGCTGTTTCTGAACCATGTTTAGAAGACTCCAACAGATGTTTTAAACATCCTGAAATTCAACCTATATGTAATTGAGGAACATGGATAGAGGAACAACTGCAGCTGCCAAATCACTCGGCTTCTCCTGGGAGCTGGTTAAATGTGCTCCTGGGTATCACCGAGGCAGTGCTATATCTAGGAACATCTCCAGAATGTTTACTTAATATCTCCTGGAGAGCACATCTCTTTTAAGGACAATTATATATCTGTGCTTGTAACAGTTCTCTGCTGGGTGGATTACATTGCAGTTTATTCATATCCATCCAAGTTCAAACTCATCTCAAATACTAATTCATAGTATCAGTAGAAGTAGAAAGAATCCTTGATATCATAAACAGGGGCTGGCTGTTAAACGACTGTGCTAATTTTATATCGATTTTATATAACAATGTGGGGGGGGTGCTGTTGCAGATTTTTTTAAAAATCAAACCTTAAATGCGCCTTGTTTTTCAAGAAGCCCCTGCAATCCTCATTATGCCATGCCCAAGAAAGGATTAGAAAAACTCTTATTACAGAAACCTGTCAGGGTTAGGGTTAAGGTTAGAGATATGCAAAAGAATAACTTCCATCCTTATTTCATGTTTCACAGTTTTGTGTATTTAGTGCTACGGTTCCTTAATTATCTGATAGCCCCAAGCCAAGCAGAAAGGCTTTGGAGGACACTGCAGGTGTGTGCAGAGAAGGGGTTTTCCTGCCTCTGTAAACCCTGCAGCATTTTCCCAAGGGTGATAGTGGAACTAAACTCATATATCTTATTCTTTCTTCAAATACATCCTTTCCAAAGCACGTGCCTGCTTGTGTTTTGCATGCTAATTAAAAGCCAGTCAAAATGTTCTTTCTGTTGTAACATTCTTTTAAAAACAAAATGGATTACATTTTCCTAATTCATACTAACCATAGATCCTATATTAAGAATCATCCTGTGTTGTGCAATGTTTATAAAATATAGGGAGTGGCATTTTCTTTAGCTGTTCCAGGTTGAATGTGCATTTTTTTTCCCAACCACTTCTTATAAGCCATCTTTTCAGTCTAGGTTACTGTTTAGTGTGCTCCCAAAGAAAATAAGTCCTTTCCAGTCATTGCATGTGCTGTTAGAAAAATCTTTAATAGCTTTCCTAATTTCAGAATTTACCAAGATCTGTATAGTTTATAGTTACTTGTTTTTCAAGTTCCATGAAAATCAAAGAACTTCTTGTTCTTATTGTTCCCAATGGGCTTTGAGTACAGAGGGCTTTTTTTGTTTGTTTTTGTTTCTGTTTTCTTTTTTCTTTTTTCTTTTCCCTTTGTTCTGTTTTATTGTAACTAATTATCCAAATATTTTCTCATAAATTCCATTTGATATAATCTTCAGGCAGTTCAATCCTATACTGGCTTGCTTAGAAGTACACTTAATTGCATTCACAGGGAATTGACTCCCAAGAAAATATTAGATCCACAAATCTGAGAGCAACAAAGAATTTTTAAAAAATAATAAAAAAGGAAGTCATGCATTTGTCTTTTACCACCAGAAGCACAAAAGCATTCTTCTTCCCACATCCTCACCCATCCTTAGTAAATCTCCTTAGGGCCCTTGCAGTGCTGATGTATGACAGGTTTTTAGTCTTTTTTGAAAAGTAAGGGATAAGTGATATAAAGGAATTTTTTTTTTTCACCTTACCATAGTTTGACCAGATGGGCATTAACTAAATTTTCCTACTCTGTTCTATTTCAGGACATTTTTTTAACAACATGGGAGAAACTAAATACATCTTTTGAAGAAAGCTACCAGTGTATCGTCATTCTTACCCAACCACAAATCTTTAGTTAAGAAGTACAAAAAAGAAGAACACAAGATTATTCCAGTGATTCAGGCCAATATGCTCTTGGAGCAACATATCATGTAATTTCCTCCCATAAGCTATTACTATTGCTCAGTTATACAGTAACAGCAGATAGCTCAAAAATTCACTGTAGGTGATAAAAAGAGACAAATGACAATTTTAAAGCTAAGTGCAGTTTGTATGAAATCTGTAGTAACTGTCATCATTATAAAGGAGAGACTCATCTTTTTCCATAAATAAGATGTTTACAGTCCCATACATAACTGGACAGAAATAAAGTGAAATCAGTGGGACTTACCTTCAGGAAAGTATCTATAGAAATGGAAAAAACAGTTTCAGAAAGACGTGGCTGAAAATCAGCTCTATATTCTTGGAGGGGGGGTGGTTCTCAGTTATAAACTACCTTTATGCAGACCTTATATACTGTAAATAGCCTTACCTTTTCAATTAATTCAAAATCTATCCAATGAATATTCTCTACAGAGGTTTGGAAAAGAGCCACTAGATCTAACTTTCTAGGATTTAAAACATATTATTGCAAAATTACTAAGAGATTTAGTGAGATTATAGCTGTGCAAAGTGTAATAGGATTCCTATTTCATGATTTAAATTAAAATATAACTCATCTCTGCTAAGAAATTAATGTTATATACTAAGTGTTATCGTTACCTTACTGATTATTTGATGACATTTCAGTTAATTAGATCAGCCAAAAATCCAGTAACAGTAAACCCACAGATCCCTATTCCACATTTATTATAACACTTATCAGAAATCATAAACCTGGCACTGTACTGAACACAAGTTTGTTCCATTCAAGTGGGATTGCAGTCAGCATTATAGGAATATGGCAGGAATGAAAGGAAAGGAATAATAAAAATGAGATGGTGTCAGAGTAGGAAAAGGTCAGTCTGGCTCTGTTGCTGAACAGGAAGAATTACAGGAAGAGTAATTTCGGTTCTCGGTTGGAAGATCAGAAAATATAAGTTGAACAGAGTAGTATGTTTTATTTCACTCTAGCAATTCCTATAGCTGAATTGCATTATTTTAAAATTATGCAGGTTTTAATTCAGTCAGCACAGAAGCTAATGCTACAATTGCACTGGTACAAATTTTTCAGCAGATTTACTTTGCATCAGAGTTAAAGCTATTCATTACTGGAAAGGCAACTATAAAATAATATAAAATAATACACTGTTCCTATATTCATCTAATTTGGCAATCCACATTCTGGTAAAATCAATTATACAATTCACGTGTCAGATAAATTATGCTGATGAAATCCTATTGGTCCAGACATGGGTGTCTGCAGAGGGTGCGCTACAAGATGCCATCATCAAGCAAATGCCACATTTCATGTTATGACACCAGATGTCAGGATGTAAGTCGCTAAGGATGCATGTGCTTGATGTCACTGTGCATGTACAGTATCATCATTTTGACATCATATTCACATTTCGCTTCAAAAGCCACTGCTCTGGTTTAGTCAAATGTTTAGTTGAATATTTACCACACATGGAAACAAAATTCTCTTTATAGAGATCAGTTATGTGGCATTGTGTCTTGCTTGCATAGTAATATGCACATAACATTGGGCCAAAAAAAAATTAAGAATAATTATAATTTCCATACTGGTATAAATACTGAAGGGACAACATTATAAAATTTGATTGCTTTATTATAAATGATTATTTTTAATCCTCAGTACTACAGATATTTAATCTGAGCCTATGTATCAAAGTTTATATTCATGAGATTATTTAATAGATGAAATAGCATTTTGGAATCAAAGTCCTGTATTGTCAATCAAAACAATTTTTCATTAAAAGAATCATATAAATTTATTCTTAATACAAGCAGAGTTTTTATGTGTTTGCAATTTCATTTAAATATTGTGGTAAATATTATGTTGCATTTATTGTCCTTTTCTAAGTTACTAGTATTTAAAATATTTATGATTAAGCAATTACAAAAAGGATAATACAGATTTTGTAAAGATTATGCCTTTTTGAACTGCTATCTTGAATTTTATTGCTAAATGGCTAGATACTCTAAAGCAGTGTGAAAAGATACCTAAATATGCATCAAAATTTCTTAAACTGTATTTTAAGGCAATATTTTGAGATAAAATGCGTATTGCCAAATATATGAACTATTTTGAATTTTAATAGTACTCTGATAGTTATTAGTGAAAAATCACTCACATTATTGATACATCGAACAGTCAAATGTCTTTGAGGGCATAATTAAGAAGCACTTACACCCATATTAAGTGTGTATGTGGTGGGCATAGTAGAGTAGTGATATTTTGAAAAGCTGAAGCTGATCCTAAGGTATTTTGATCTGTGAAGTGAAGGACTTGATATCCACCCCTCTCAGCTTTCCTGTAAAAAAGCCAACTGGACTAGCAGTTGAACACATGAGCATCCATAGGGTAGAATCAAAATGTGCAAGTTGGTGGCCGCGGTGTCGCTAGATGTACAAAGTGAGGGGGCATGAACCTGCCATCTTGCAGATTTTGAGCCTCTCCTGTGGACATTGCTGGTGGGATACCAGTGGTACCCCTGTAGTAGGCTAGCATTCTGCATTGCACTCAGCTAGGGGATGTAGGGTAAGCAGATGGCAGCTCCACCTCTATCTTCTAGTCCTTTGCCACCACTTCCTGATTCTCAGGACCTTCTGTCTGAACCTGCAACCTTATATTTCCTAGTGGTAGACCAGGCGTGGAAAAGCATCCAGAAATAGAAGTTTCCAGATTCAGTTCTTGGTATCTCAAATAATTCACCTAAAGATCTCTGCCTAGATTTTTAACCCAAACTATACTAGATAGTACATTAGGCTAACAGCGTAAGCTTTCATGACAAAATGGTTAAGTATCTTAATTTTTGCATTGTATCATTCCTAAATTCTGAGCTCATCATTTCCATACAGCAGCAGATGATAACTGATAAGAATAATAGTATTAGGATTTCAATATGTAAAGGACCATTGACTCGGAGGAGGAGGAAAGAAATGCAGTCTGTCTGTCTGTCTGTCTGTCTGTCTGTCTATCTATCTATCTATCAATCAATCAATCAATCAATCAATCAATCATATTTATATAGCCGCCCATCTCACACAATGTGACTGTGGGTGGCATACAACAATTAAAAAAATAAATACATAAAAACAATTACACATAAAAAACTGTAAAAATACACAAAATAGGAGGGGATAAAATTAATAAGGGAGCCATCGTAAAAGCTCCCTGGTCCCTTGGAAGCCCCAGGCCTGATCACATAGCCAGGTCTTGAGGGACTTGTGGAATGTTAAGAGGGATGGAGCTGATCTCACTTCCAGGGGGAGAAGATTCCACGAGGCAGGCACCACAGCAGAGAAGACCTCCCTCCTGGGACCCACCAAATGTAATTCTCTAGCAGACGGGATCCACAGCATGCCTTCTCTGTCAGATTTGATGGGATAGGGAGATGTAATCGGGGAGAGGCGGTCCCTCAAGTAACCTGGCCCCATGCCATGAAGGGCTTTAAAGGTCAAAACCAGCACCTTGAATTGGACCTGGAGGCAAACTGGCAACCAGTGCAGCTCACAGAGCAGAGGTGTAATGTGTACCGCCCTAGGGGCACACATAACTGCCTATGCCACTGTATTTTGCATTAGCTAAAGCTTCTGGATACTCTTCAAGGGCAGCCTCATGTAGAGCACATTACAGAAATCCAAACAGGAGGTGACAATGGGCGCAACTGGTGCACAACATGAAGCTGTGCAAAAGCCCTCCTAGCCATGACTGCCACCTGCTCTTTGAGCAGGAGTCGTGAGTCCAGGAGGACCCCCAGATTGTGCACAAGGTCTGTCTGGGACAGTGCAACCCCATTCAGTACCAAAAATGGCATAGTTCTAGCACCAGAAGGCCCCAAAACCCACAGCCACTCAGTCTTGCCAGGATTCAGTTGAAGTCTGTTGTTCCCCATCCAGACCCTCACAGCCTCCAGGCACCAGGATAAGACATTCGCAGCATCACTTAATTTGCCAGGGGCAGAGATGTATAATTGGGTATCATCAGCATACTGATGATGCCTCACCCCATGGCGACGGATGAGGTCACCCAGCAGCCTCATGTAGATGTTAAATAGGATGGGGGAGAGCACTGAACCCTGTGGCACCCCACATAACAGGGGTGAAGGGTGGGATCTCTCCTGCCCAACCACCACCGACTGAAATCAGCCCTGGAGGAAGGAGGTGAACCAGCACAACACAGTGCTGCCTACCCTCAATCCCCTGAGCCCATCCGGAAGGATACCATGGTGGATGATATCGAAAGCTGCTGAGAGGTCAAGTAGGGCAAGGATGGATGCACAACCTTCATCCCGCCCTCACCAGAGATCATCCAAAAGTGCAACCAATGCTGTTTCCATCCCATACCCAGGCCTGAGTCCCGACTGAAAGGGATCCAGATAATCCGCTTCATCCAAGGTCCTCTGAAGCTGTTGCACAAGCACCTTCTCAATCACCTTCCCCAAAAAGGAGAGGTTAGATACCGGATGAAAATTGTCAAGTAGTGGGGTCTAGTGATGGCCTTTTGAGGAGGGGGTGAACCAAGGCCTCCTTAAGAGGTGAGGGAACAACCCCCTCACTCAAAGATGCATTAACCATCGCTAGAACCCACTCGCACAACACCCCCTGGGTTTGTTTTCACAAGCCAGGAGGGGCATGGATCTAAAGAGCAGCTGGCTGAGCTCACAGCCCTAAGGATCCTGCCACTTCCTCAGGTCCAACAGGTTCAAACTGTTCCCAGATAACAGAGCAAGACCCCTCCCTAGGCACTTCCACTGGACCTGCAGTAAACCCAGCATCCAACTGTGAATGAATCCGAGAGATTTTATCCGACAGATGCCAAGAAAATTCCTCTACACATCCCTGCAGAAGGTTCTCTGAGCCATCCTTACCCAGGAGGGCTCGTGTCACCCGAAACAGGGCTGTGGGGTGGCTATCTGTGGACAATAAGAGCTGAGGAGTAATGACGCTTCACCGCCCTTATTGCGACTAAGTATGCATGAATAGCTGCTCTAACCCGTGTTCAGTTGAGTTCATCCCTTGTTGAGCACCAGCAATGCTCTAGACATCTCTTCCCTCACTTCCTCTCCCTTAGCTCTTCTGTAAACCATGGAGAGTGCCGGGATCCCTGTGAGGAAAGAGGTCGCATGGGTGCAATCCAATCCAAAGCCTCAGCCGCCCCTTTATTCCAAGCAGTGACCAAGACTTCAGATGGACCATGCAGCAGACCAACAGGAACAACCCCCAGCTCCCTCTGGAACCATTAGTCACCGGGGCGGTCCAATCTAATAGTTACATCTCTAACAAAATGTGGCATAGGACCTTGAGAGAGATGGCAGAGAAAGTTGAAAAGTTACAAAACACTGGGATTCTTAGTAAACTAAGACATGAAACATTTCTTGATAGTATGGGCATTCTAAAAGCAATTACAGGATATTTTACAGTCACATTATTACAAGCATTTACATAGGCTGTTCACACAGTGCAGTTAACAAGCTGGCATCATAGCCCTTGGTCATGTGCAGTTCTTTAGCTAATATAGTGGGCTTATTTGGTCATCCAAATCCAGAGCAGCTGCCAGTGGTTTAACAGAAACTGGAATGTGTAACCCATGGAACTTAAATTGGCTTGTGCAAACCAATCATGGAGACTACTTCAAGCCTGGATGACACGATAAGGTCCAAATCTGGATAAAATAAAAATTAAAAACCAAGCTTTTTGGGTCAGTGTGTTGTACAAACATTGTGGTGCTGTTGGTATTATATGTCAGACTTGCACAAGTTACTGCAACATGGTGTATTCTTATGCAATCAGCCCCTGCCCTTTTTCAGGATATTCCAATTCAGCTTTTCCATCTCCAACCAGCAGGGTGCCATGGCTACTACACACCCTGGCATTCTTTCTTTGGTTTCAGGGTTCTTTTTCCCTTGAAGTTTTTTTTTCCCCTGAAGTTTTGGGGATGGATTCTTTTCTATAAAACTTGGATTCTTTAAACTCTGTTGACTAATTCTTTCCCTTCCTGTAAATTTGTGGTACTGTTTTGAAAGAGATGCATTTAGGGAAAGAGATGCATTTAGGGAAAGAGTTTGTTATTGGTTTATAGGCTTATTTTCTTTGAACAAATGTTTCAAGTTTCTCAGGATAGTTTATTTAATTTAACCTTTTATTTATTATTTTTTTAAGGGCTTGACATCTGTATTTGAGACAATAATCTGGAGCAAAATTTTCTCACAATAATTAAAATGCACTCATTGTCTCTTAGGAATTTCTTGGCCATGCTAGGAACATTACACATTTTCCAACATGTCCTCACAAAACTCTGAAAGGAAATGGGAACTACAGAAAATAAGAATTCTGTGGCACTGTAAATGCTAACCAAGTTATTTTGGCGAGAATTCCATGGACAAAGGGCTACCTTATTAGATTTAGGCAGAAATGTAGAAATTGTAAATGTCTTCACACATATGGATATGTACACATTTGAGAGTGAGTTTTTAAGTTCTCTCATCCCATATCTCCACAGACGTAGGTAAATGTATTGAAATCACCCTGAGATGTTGATTATCACACACTATTTAAAATGCCACAGATATCTGTAGGAATAAACAATCCTAGAAATTCTGCTTGTTCTCCTGTCCTAGTTAAAAACCCATCACTGTGTAATATTGGTGGTGTCATGGTTAAAAGTATCACATTGAGCTTAATATATTCCATTTTTTCACATTTCACTTTTAAGTAAAGAGTAGACTATGACAATGAAAAGCACATGTTCAAAACCAATTATAACTCAATTTTCTTGATTCCTAC